AAAAGGCCGAGGAACAGCCAGAAAGGCAGCCGCGTTCTCCGCTATTTCGCGGAGGCACGTGGGAATCGCGGGACCGTCCCCCCTTCTCTTCGACAACTTCAACTTCCTCCGGCTCTTTTTCGTATTCCCAGGTCCGTCAATTACCCTCGGTAAATAGGTAAAGAGGCGTGCCGTCGTGGACCCGAGTTTTCGTCCTTTCAAAGTAATTCTAGCTTCTTCGAGCTGGCCTATGTCTCATCTTCGTTTCATCGTAGGGACGTGACAATTCGAGATCGATTGTAGATTGATCTCTTGTTCTTATCTTAAACCATACACTCCTTGCACCGACTACAATATTTAACATGTCGACTGCCACGAGAAACTCCGACGTTTTATGTCACTCAATCTTTTGTACGTTACACTGTTATCTAGCTATTTAGACTACATTTCTCTTCGGTATCAGCTGTGCCATAGATTAGAATCATTTTCCAATGAAGCTCAGGTCATCGATGACCACTGTGGTGTTCACCACAGTAAACGTGTTGTTATTCCATAAATTCAACGTGGTAACTGTGAATTCTCCGTGAATATGAACGAAGAATGTTCACGGAAGTTAACGCTGTACAGTGATCCTCTGCTACACAGATAGGGGATGCTACGAAGACCTCCAACTTCCGAAGTTCAGCAAGCTGTCGCCCATTTTTCTGCACACCACCGAAACAATTATAAACCCGGTGCAAAGGTATCCAGTTCCAACCGAGCCGAACAAACAAGACAAATCCCGTGTACGCGAGCAGACGTCGAGTCAGACAGAAGTAGTCCCAGCGCGGGGAGAGAATATACAATCAGTGTGATTGTTTGACACCCCATAATCAGCGTCCTTACCCCTACCACGCCTGTGTCTCTCTCTCCTGTCTCTCCTCTCTCGTTGCTGAGCTATCCGTTTCGCTCGGGCCAACGGTTCTTCCTCCCAGGTACTTCGGTCCGCTGCCACTGCCTCGGAGCCTCATTACCCCGATCACGACTCGAGATGAGACTCTCGAGGGAAGGAAGACGAGAAACGGACACGGTTATATTATAAGAGACAGGAATAATGCTCGCTTCCCCTTTTTTCTTCACCCGGAGACCTTCTGGCCGAGGTCGTTGCTGCCCTTCCACTGGACACGGCCGCGTCTCTGCGCTTATGAACCGTGTAAACGCGCGTTTCGTCGGACACAGCCGCTACCAAACACCGGGATCCATTGTTCCACGAAAAACGAGTAATCGAGGTTATCGAGAATAATGTTTAAACGTTGAGATTGAGAAAGACAAAGTAGACAGGAGTCAAGCTTCTGTCAGACAGAGTTTGAAATCAGATGAAAACTTCTTCGCTCTTTCCACTTAACGATACCGGACTTTCAAAATAAGAAATCGATTCTCAGATCTCTAACACGTATCAATTACGACAGGTACCAAAGGAATGTGCCCGATGAAGAGCAAAAAGAGTATCGTTCCTTCAGCCCTCTAGATCAAACCGAATTCCGGTCACCCTAGATTGCGTCCATCATTCCATTCGCGCCATCAACCCTCATACTCAACGAAGAGGATCGCAAGCTCGCCGACAGCATGTCCCTCAGGCACCGAGCAAAAACGACAATCGAAAAACCCCGTGGAATCCCAGAATAAAAAGAGCCTCTAATCCATCGGACGCTGCATTCATACGGATGCACAATACACGCCGGGGTACATCGCAGACGGCCGTGTAGGCGAGATTTAGAGGGCAATCAGAGAGACCGGGAGTCGATGGAAAAGAGCGACGAAACGGTCGACGAAGAAGACGGGAGGCGAAGAAGAAGAAGATTGCGAGGAGGCTGGAGGGAGGAGGACAAGATAAGGTTCGCGATTCAACAACGTCTGGCATCGCAAGCGAACCGAGCCCGAGACAAAAGGAGAAGTGGACAGGCAGCAGCGGCAGCGAGGGGGCAAAAACAACATGGATCCAGGCACT